TACCTGAATAAACTTACTCACTCTCATTGCATATACATTGAGAAACTTGTACCTCAGAATGTATATTATCCAGTGATATTTATTATTATTATTATTATTATTATTATTATTATTATTATTATTATTATTATTATTATTATTATTATTATTATTATTAAAGAGTGGTGATGATAAGTTCACTTTAATACTCATTTTAGGGGTTAAAGTAAAATGGAAGTAAAGAAAACTGTTACTAAATACTGATAAAGGACTTCTTAGCCAAGAACAAGTCTGTACCAGCGTTTATCTATCTAATCATTAGCCAATATTCACCAAATTGTGGTCGTAGGGGTCGATTCATAACTCGGTAAGTGTGCATGACTCCTCTAACGATGCCCTAATCATCTGGGTTTTTTCCATGACTTTGATTATTATTATTAAAGATTAGCCGGTATTCTCCCGGCCCGGGCCTTTTCCAAGTGGTGGCCCGGCCTTGGCTCCATCTTTAGGGAGTGTCTGAGACCTAAGTCTCCCATGGGAGGAGGCACAAGTACCTCCTCATCATTGGGACCAACTGTCCCCAGGCCTAGCCACAAGCTAGGCCTCTCTGGTCTGCCATCCCCACCCCAAGGGGGCAAATGGGAATGACAGTCTTATGAGCTAAAGGCTCGGGCTCAGGCACCTACCCTACCCGAGAAGGGTTAGGCATGGTGTCGATGTCATGACTTTGATAAGTTGCTGTCTGTATACTCTTACCACACTGCTGACGTCGTACTGCTGATAACAGTTCGGGTATAAGAAAGTGGGAGGACGTCTACAGAGCACCAGTAAGCCAGTGGCCTATAGAACACCAGCGTCATAGTTTACCCTCTCAAAGTTCCATTCTCTAACACACAAGCGAGTATCAAAGAAAGCGTTCTGTATAACGTAGACTACTATGTTCTCTCGATCACTGACTTAAAAAAAAATAAAATAAAATAAAACTCTATTTCTTTGCTAAGGTTACAATGTGTGTTTACATTTTATAATATGATTGGAACCAAAAAAGCCAATAAATGACGAGGCATTTCGGGCCTTCCCTTAGTACAGTAGTGTGCATATTAATTGGAACAGTGATGAAATGAGACATTTATTATGAATACTAATGTTTATTTGAAAAAATACAAGGCAATGATGTGACAGATAATTGATTTAATAATGATATGACTACCCTTTGCTTTTATAAGCATTGCTACACGCTGCGGCATAGAATCGACTAATGCTGAACATATTCTGGCAAGTTCTTCGTCGTGGCACTAGGTCCTAATAACAGCAGCAATTAGTTTCTCCACAATTGAACAGTCTTGTTTTGCGATCATGCGTTTGGTTATTACCCATAGATTTTCATTTGAGTTGAGGTCAAAAAGGCTTCCAGGCCAATTTAGAATGCTTAGCCCAGTCTCTTCGAAGAATGTCAGCATTTTTCTGGAAGTGTGGCACGGAAATTGCCTTCTCCATCAGGAAAGTCTCTATCCACAACGGGAAGTAAATAAATCGCCAGGATTGCCTTGTATTTGTCACTGTCCATTGTTCACTTAACAAGCCGTCCAGGGCCTTTAGCAGTAAAATGATCAAAAAACATCTTAGGGGTGTTGTGGCGCTTGTTGAATGTATCCATTCCGAAGAGGTTTGCCTTGTCCTGTCTCGCTACCACTGATATGTACCCAAGTACTTCAAAAGCACCTGATCTGAAAATTTAAATTTTCTCCACTCATCTATCGTCCATCCCTTATGATCGAGTGCCCAGCGCAGCTGTTGTTTCTTCATAGCAGCAGTCAATAACTGTTTCTTTACCGGCTTTCTGGCAGTTCTGCCAACTTCAAGGAGCCTTCGTCAAACAGTTGAAGAATCATCATTTATATCAGGCGAAGCTACATCTCTGTAGATCTTTGCTGGTTTTCTTGGGATCCTTCACACTTTCTTAGGATAACTTTGTCATCGTTTGATCACGCCCTGATCCACCATGAGGCCTGGTCACAGACCGGGCCGCGGGGGCATTGATCCCCGGAACTCTCTCCAGGTTAAGTGTTGTCTTGCGTTTTCTTACACATCCTTCTCGATGCACAGTCACCACTGTCATCGGTTCTCTTCAGAATCCGAAAAACAGTAGACTTTGCGAGGCTCATATTTTCGGCGATCTGTCTGATACTGACACCAACATGTTTTCTAAGAGCTACAATATTTGCACGCTTCCTAGGTGTAACATCCATCATGAATTTCAGCAGTAATCATGAACTGAAGGAGGGAATTTGGTGAAACTACATTCACTTACGGAGCACGCTTGCAGGAATAGTTTACAGAACAACAGCTGTTGTAGCACTGCTGGATGGTTGCCAGAAGTCCATAGCAAGCTCTTCTGAAAAAAAAACTATATTAATTAAGCAGGAGACTAAGACATATGAATAATCACAAAATTTACTCCTGTCCCAATTAATTTGCACACTTGCACGCTACTGTAAGTATATTTAGGTACAGGTATACATAAGCACAATTACACATATCTAGTAACATATATGTCAATTACCCAGGATAACCAAAATTTCCCCCACTGAATTACTCATTGAAATCCGGCTAACCGGTTCCCTTGAGTCCTTCATTATCACATTGCTGACACTCCAACAGCACCTCAAATCCCAAAAATCATTCGCCTTCACTCCAATGTAACGTTCTTACATATACTTACTGTATATTAAAACATTTCTGATGAAATCCTCTTTTGAACGTAAATTGGTCGTTCCCTTATACTGTATGAGTTTGTGTATGATTGTGTGTGTTTGTGTGTGTGTGTGTGTGTGTGTGTGTTGTGTGTGTGTGTGTGTGTGTGTGTGTGTGTGTGTGTGTGTGTGTGTGTGTGTGCGTGAGTGTGTGTGTGTGTGTTCTCACCTATTTGTACTCACCTATTTGTGGTTGCAGGGGTCGATTCATAGCTCCTGGTCCCGCCTCTTCGCTGATTGCTACCAGGTCCTCTCTCTCCCTTCCCCATGAGCTTTATCATACTCGCCCTTAAAAAATATGTATGGTTCCCGCCTCCACTACGTCACTTCTAGGCTAGTCCCCGGCCTGACTTTCTCTATGACTGAAGAAATACTTCCTAACATCCCTTTGATTCATCTGAGTCTTCAACTTCCAATTGTGACCTCTTGTGTCTGTGTCCCATCTCTGGAACATTCTGTCTTTGTCCACCTTGTTATTCCGCCCCAGTATTTTGTATGTCGTTATCATGTCTCCCCTGACCCTTCTGTCCTCCAGTTTTCGTCAGGCCGATTTCCCTCAACTTTCTTCGTAGGACAATCCCCGTAGCTCTGGGACTAGTCTTGTTGCAAACCTTTGCACTTTCTCTAATTTCTTGACGTGACCCTGTGTGTGTGGGGTGTGTGTGTGTGTGTGTGTGTGTGTGTGTGTGTTTTGTGGGGTGTGTGTGTGCGTGTGTGTGTGTGTTGTGTGTGTGTGTGTGTGTGTGTGTGTGTGTGTGTGTGTGTGTGTGTGTGTGTGTGTGTGTGTGGTGTGTGTGTGGAAGTGTGAATTGCTCATTACTCTATAATTTGTTCATGATTGTAGCCTTGTATAAACGTAAGTAACCATTCTTATAGGATTCATTACCTTTGTAACTTGTGAGTTCATTACCTTTGTACCTAGTTCAGCTATCAAAACTTTGGGGGCCCAGTCCCTGGACCCATTACGTACCTCTGTAATCTGTAAATACTTTTGTAACTTGTAATGATTGTGACCAGACCTACCTGGAGTTCATTACCTTTGTAAATTGTAACTTCATTCCCTTTGTAAATTGTGAGTTCATTACCTTTCTAACTTTCTCAGCTATCAAAACTTTGAGGCCCAGTCCCTGGACCCATTATGTACCTCTGTAATCTTTTGACTACCGCCCACAGGATGGGAATGGGGTGCATAATAAAGACATTAAACTAGCCTTATAATTCCTTCCACTCGGTCGTACCCTTACACCTTTATCATAATATTTTAGTGAAATACAGGGAGATGTGCATTTATCTCAGAGGAGATTCAAGTATTCTCCTATGAGTGGATGTACAGGGCTATATGCTGCCTAGGTGACCCACGTATAGTTCATAGGATTTAATCCCTCGGTTTATGGGTTAATAGGGTTTAAAGCCCATCGCCTGAATGACCGTCTTTAAGGCTGCACGGTTACCTTTTCACCACCAGACAAGATACTTTGATCCCCAATATAGGGATCAAAGTAAACTTAGAACATATATATGCTGAGAGCAACACATTCCAGTAATACATCCCTAGGGATGCATGACAATGTTTGACTTTATTGGGTTATCCAAGAAAAAATCTATACTACGTACTTTTATGTGCTCATTACATCTGTTTACCCCCAAATCAATGTGATTACAAACATATATATATTTATATATATATATATATATATATATATATATTATTTATATATATTATATATTATATATATATATATATATGCAAAAACCACTATGAAAGAGTAGTGAAATTCCAAGAGTTTCGTGATACTCACATTGTCAACCCCCACAACAAAGAAACACCTGACGCGCGACAATACCGGACTCATAAGAAAAGAGGAACACTGCAGTAGGTCCGCTGGTCCAACTAGACAGGTTCTCACGACATCCCACTAACAGGTCGTGAGGACCTGTCTAGTTGGACCAGCGGACCCCACTGCAGTGTTCCTCCCTTTTTTTATGAGTCCGGTATTGCCGCGCGTCAGGTGTTTCTTTGTTGTGGGGGTTGACTGTGAGGTGTGGTCTAAGCCCTTTAATTGCCTTCCTGTGATGTATTACTTTCATAGTTCCTTGACAATGTGAGTAGGCACGAACACTTTGGAATTTCACTACTTTTTCATAGTGGTTGTTTTGCATATATATATTTATATATTATATATTATTATTATTACATATTTTTTATATTATTATATATTATATATATGTACTTATACTCAAAAAAATTAATCGTAAAATAGAGTTGAGATGAATGGCGCAGCATCCCGTGCTCTACTCCGCCTCCTCTCCCTCTTCCGCGACTCTGATGCCCTTCGCCCTTCGCCCACGCCCAGGACCATCACCAGTTTCCAGGGACTACAAGGTGTAGCCTTGCAACCTAAGAAAGTAAGCTGTACTTAGTGTTTGTATAATCAGAATGAAAGTTATATTTGGAATCTAGAATCCCTAACTGGTGGGAGACTTAAGATTCTAGTCTTATACCAAGATATTTGATATCTTTCAATGGTTTTAGCAGCAAAATAACTATCACTCAGCATTTTTATACGATATACATACACTAAGAGGTGTGTATATCTGAGAGTATGTATACCGAGAGTTTACTGTATTCCCTATTTTGGAGATTAAAGCATACGCGAATGAAGGTGAACAGATGACGAGCTTTAATGATTCTTTGACAAATCTACAGGCTTTAAGCTCATTTAGCCAACCATCCCTTGGGATTAAAGGTAACACGCCGCCTTTCTGTCGCTCGTGTAGTTACTTCACTTTACACACAATTAACAACCAATCACCCATACAAGTCCTTCATGAAAAAAATTTTTCGTATTAATTTATATTCGGTGGTTGAGTAGTGTTTTTGGATATTGCATATATAAATATTAATACAATAGTCTGGAGGATACGCAAATGGTATTAGCACACATGTATAGTATTTTATGGGTATTTAACCTAGAATAATCATTTAGGTAACACAATGTAACATATTTCCACTAGGGTACCTGTATTTCCACTAGGGTACCTGTATTTCCACCAGGGTCTAAATGGGTAGACTCGTATGCACTTACAATGCATACGAGTCTTACAGCTGAAAGACCCGGGTTTGATTCAGGGGAGAGTGGAAACGTTAGGCATATTTCCATACACCTATTGCCTGTGGTCACCTAGAAGTAGGTACCCGGGTGTTACTAGATTATATGGGCCGCATCCTGGGGGAAGAGGATCTGAAAACCCCACTGGAAACAAACTACATGGAGTGGCTTTCTTGAGGTGGGTTACTAAACATCCGGGTTTATAATCCAAATAAATTTTTATCATGCCCACAGACCCAATTACAAACTGGCGAAGGAAAGGAATTGTTACAACAGTCTGATGTCCGCTGTCGGGATCTTCTGCAAGAAATTTAAGACATTTATTACCGGTTGTGGTAAATAGTTGTGAATATTTGGAAGCTCCGTAACACTTCCAGAAATTAGTATCTTGCGGTAAGTTCGAGTAGAACTGAACCCATAGAAGACCGTCACAGTGTAGTGGGTTGTATATTCCAACTAGTGATTTAAACGCAGTGTTGTTGCAGTAGCAGCAGTAGTAGTTGTTGTGGTAATAGCAGTAGTGGTTGTTGTAATAGTAGTTGTTGTTATTGTTGTTGTAGTGTTAGTAGTAGTGGTTGTAGTAGTAGCAGTATTTGGGTTGTAATAGTAGTAGTTGTTGTAGTATTATCAGTAGTTGTATTAGTTATTGTAGTAGTTGTTGTTGCATAGCATTTTTCCGAGAGTTATCGCCCCTCCTGTTTAATGGCCTAATCAAACAGGTTGTTGGTGCTAGTGGCCCCAGTACAGCGTAAGGGCTATCAAATTTCCTCATAAAGACAGGTAGGGATTTGTGGGTAATTTTCCCACCATGAAGGAGGGTGTTGGAAGGTGTTATCTGCATTTACTAAATTATTTCTCAGTGTACCTTAGTAATTTCTATTGCAGATTTTGGTCTAGTCTCTGTCTTTCTTTCTTCTTCTCTCTCTCTTCACCCTTCTAAAAGTCCCTTTTCTCTCTCACCCTCCATCACTTGTTACATAGAATTTTGAATATACCACCCAATTTTGGTATTCAAGTTGCATAAAAGGTAAATGTATACTGGAGAGGGTATACTGGAGAGGGTATATGGAGAGGTATACTGGAGAGGGTACATATAAGAGTTACCAAGATTGTAACATCAATAAAAAATAAACCAGTTGAAGAAACACTCAACTTTTTCTCTGTCAGAAATGGAGAAACCAGATCACATTGAATTTTCAGACACTAAATGGCTTTGACACACTCAAATACGAAGAAACTATTTAAAAGGCAGGAATAAGTCCATAAATTCGAAACAATAAAGGAAAAACGCGAGGCAGAAAATGGAACCGCCACATGCAGTTTTTTTTTTTTAAACAGAATTATAGCAGAGTGGAATTTATTGGGCTGTTAACGTTGCAAGCACAAAGACAATACACTCATTTAAGAACCAGCTGGACAAACACTGCACAAGTGTAAATTACATGGAACCCTTCCAATGGCTGGGTCGATCCACACGTTTCATGTTAGAAAACTTTACAGAAGTTACTGTGACCAGCAAAGTAAAGTATAGGTTTGTTGAAGGAGGACAGGAGCGAGTTTTTGTTCCTTTCACTACTGTTTCACTCAAACCACCCTAAACCCACACTACATTCAAGCAGACCGTCTATGCACACTGTACATGGGAAAAGTTGAAGTCAGCGGATTTTGTTGTTGTTACAGCAGCTGCACCAAGACGTTCAGTTGACAACAAGGTGTGGTAGAAGTAGTAGAGGGTTGTAACGTCACAGCAGAATGGTGACACCAGAAGTACAACTACTGATACACACAGCTCCCTGGTTGCTATGGGTAAAATGAGAGATAAGATGGTAACAGTACTAATTTAGTAGAGGTAGAGTTAGCTCAAGTTTTACATACATTTCCATCCTTCCTTTAATTCAGTGCTATTTTTTCAATATAACAGGGGTTTATTTTTCCCCCTTTTCGTGCCAACAGTTGTCGGAAGGAGTAAAGGGGGGAGGGGGGGAGAGCCTTTTTCTGTCGTGTCCATGACTCATACACCTAGGTAAAACACGAGAGTTTTACTGTAAATATAAGTAGGTAGCTCTTCTGAGCTATCTACTATCTGAATCCCATATACAGTCCCTCTCCACAATACCCCTGTCCTCTTTTCCTTATTCCGTTCTTCACTACCACTATCACCTCCGTGATGTCTGCCTGTACTCTAAAGTGCCCTTACCAGTGTTATCTAATGTTTGGTGAGTGAACAGCCCTTACAGCAGTGCGATTAGAGGCTGCTGAAATGAACAGCAATGCATGTTAGGTGTTTTCTATGATATATTAATATCCAAGAGTTGTACAAGTTTTAGTTTAATAACCTGGTTGAGAATATAACTTAAAGTGTACGGTGGAAATATTTTTTAACAGGTATGAGACAGAAAGTGGATTGCCGAGTGACGGAAGATTTGGAGAGGATATCGAATGTATGTATTTATTCGGTAGCATCTTCGTGAATAATACTTTGGTTTTCTAAGAGTAAGAAGCTCTTTGTTGTATTTATAAATTTTTAATAGATATATATATTGCAACACAAATACTGTTGAAAGGTCTGTTGTACCGGTTGTTAAGAAGGAATACCAGCGTTTGGTGCAGTCAAAGCAACGTAGATGCAGTCAGTAGCAACGTAGGTACAGTCAGTAGCAACGTGGGTGCAGTCAGTAGCAACGTGGGTGCAGTCAGTAGCAACGTTTGGTGCAGTCAGTAGCAGCGTAGGGGCAGTTAATTGTAGGTGCAGTCAAGTAGCAGCGTAGGTGCATTGTACCATCGTAGTGCAGTCAATACCAGTGTAGGTGCAGTCATTAACAACAAGAATATTGAATACCCTTATATTGCAATCACCAAGGTCATTTATATATATTCACAAATAACAGTACGTTAAACAAATGTCACAAATCGAGTGGGTTTTGAGAGAGAGAAGAGTTAGTGCAGAGCTTTCTCACTTTACAGCTTTAGGCACCCATTCAGAGGGCAGACCATCAAGGGCTTGTGAGGAAAATGAAGTTTAAAGGCCACTCCTAGATACAAGGTGCCTACCGAGGCACCACTCCTCACCTGAGACTGGCAATCTCCAGCACAACTGTCGTTTCTCCTTATACAAGCGGTATCAACATTCAGACAGGCAATAAACTACCGTGTTTTAAGCTGGTTGTTAATATTATGCGGGATCGTGGTTATATGTGATGCACGTCGAATATAAAAACGTATTCGGTGTATGCCACAGCATACACTAGGTCATATATTAGAAAACGTTTCAGTCCTGCGGTCCGATCAAGGTCCCAGGACCATTGTAAGAGAGAAAGGAACTATTTTCAGTAAAGGTTGGTCTTAAACAGGGATGCGTAAAGTTACTATGGTTGCTCAATATATTTATAGAAAGAGCTGCAAAAAATGTGAATGTTAGGGTGTTGTAAATGAAAGATAATGAGCCTGATAAGAGGTGGGAATTGCCATAGTGACCCAGTGCCGATAACACGGTTCTTCTGAGAGGTTGCCAATGAAAAAAGATTAAAAGTGACCATAGGAAAAACCAAAATGAGGAGAGTAATTAAAAATTAGGCAATGAAGCACTGGATATCAGAAGTCAATAAATCTAGATATTTGGGAGTGGATGTGTCGGTAGATGAGGCTTTCAATAGCAAAAACAAACCGCAGAAGAGACCAGGGAGGTAAAAGAAAGGTGAAGTGTTTTGATTCGTCTGTAGAAGGAAAAAATGGCTAAGGTATAGAGGAAAGAAGGAAAGTGTACAATTACAAGTAAAGATTAACCAAAAAATAATTACTTTTTCATAGTATGAGAAAATGGGTGAGAGTTATCTTGATAGTGTTCATGAACAGGAGGTGACCTTGACGCGACTACAATCAAGTCGCCAGTGTTATCTGGACTGCATATACAATAGCATCAGTGGAGCTAGAGCAGACCTGGGGCTGGATTAGGTCTGGGGGGCTGTAGGTGACTAGTGCCAGGGTGAAGCAGTAGCCTAGAGACATGCAGTGCTTCAATATTCAACCAGATACAAAAAATATATAATCAATTTTAATGTACCGGCAGTCTCCAGTGGAGATAAATTATAGAATCTGCTCTTCATGGCCCCAGGTTTCCCTAACCTCTTTGTTTTAAGCAATGCATCAAACATTTTAAAAATCTTTTTTTTTGTGCAACATTTCGCTCACAGGAAAGATTTTTTTTTTTTAAGTCATCACTTGAAAAAAGTAAGTCAGGAAAATAAGTCACGCTGGGATGAGTTTGTTTACGAGTGTGAGTTTGGACTGAGGGACATCAAACCACCCATTACAGTTTCGCTTAAATTCTAATGATGAGCTTTGGATCCAAGGAATTGAAGCTACCTTCCCCTTCTTCGAATCAAACCTGATAACCTCAGTGTGGAAAATACTGTATATATTTTCCGGAAATACGGTAATTTATAGGTAAATAGATGCCCTATATTGTATTTTTAAAAGAAGTATGTTATCGAAAAAAAAGAAGAGACTCGCCATCTTGGTTTTGAATTTTGTACAAACGTTGGTGTAATGGGAAGAATTTTTCGTGCTCTAGAGGTTAAAATTGTGTTGACACCTCTCAAATAGGTGAAATTGGTGGATGTGCATTCCTGCATAACTTG